CAGACGGTGAAGAACTTAGTATGTTGACGCATTTAGTGCCCACAAAAACTAATCGGTATACAAAATAGCAAACCATTAAGCTATTTTTTGGAAAATTTTGATTTTAAAAAATTGTCTTTGATGTCTTATATCTCAAAAGCAAAAGGAGTAGGTGCACAATCCATCGAAAAAATCTCATTTTCTGATGCTCCATTAGTTCATGAATTTATGGTACAGTTTTCTGAATCACCCTGTATATTGTTACAAAAAAAATATGATGCACCTAACCTATTGTACTGGTAAAACAGTTAGTAACAGTTAGTTGTATCTAATTATGAGTATCTTCAGTTTGTTATACTATAGTTACTGCTCTAATATAATTTGTACTTCCTGCAATATGTACTCATCTAATATTGTTTTGTTTGTCTTATCAAACAAAATGTTTATAAAATATCGAAATTTGTAAATATATGTAAACCGGCTATATCTAATAAAAGAAGCCTTGATTGCTAATTATCAATTAAAATGACTCATACATACATAGTTTTGTAAAGAAGTTAGTGGAATAGTTTTAGAAATGACGGAATTATGTTTCCTCGCCCCTCTATCTCGATTAACCCAAATTGGAATTCTTAAACAGGGCCGTATTTTCCTCTAAGTCTTCCAGGTAAATTTTAAAGCTAAAGTATAATCCAAATTATTAGTAGATACATTGATTGATTTCAATACATATTTTTTTAAATTCCAAAATTATGTTCATTACTGTAGAAAACATTAAGTACATAATTTTGTTGATAGAAAATAGGCAGTGAGTCTAACTAAATAATTTTTGTGATGGGTATTTGTTAGTCGAATAACTTTTTATGATGCATTTAGTCATGACTAATAATCAATAGATTAGTCATAGATCATCTACTGATAACTGTTCAGTGGTAATTAGACGATGGATTGATTAATAAGTAATTTTTTACTATATTTTAAAGGTTAAACTTCAAGTTAATTCAAACAAATTCAAAAATTTTTTCTAAAAGATTTTACGTATCAAATGAAGTTAAACGATATATTAATTATATTTAGAAATATTATTTTTAGTTTTTATTTTGGATAATTATATGTATATGTATACATGTTTTATAGTAGGCTGTGGTAGAGAAGTAGACGTGTGTATATTTTCTATTTCATAATAATAGTTTCTTTAATAATTGGACAAAGTTTTAAACAATTATCTATAAAACAAAAAGTGATTTGTGTTTTTCTTTCGAGAAAATTTAATACCTGTATTTTTAGTGCATAAAATCAGTGTTTTTTTTTAATTAATTGCTAATAAATAGGTACTGAGTTCTACATGTCCTAAATGTGAAAAGATAATTGAACACCGTAAAATCCATCCTTATCGTGTAATGGTTTTTGCGGTCGTTTTTTTTCATGCCGAGTGTGTCAGTCTGCCATCTCGCCATCTGATGTTTACAAACATTTGTAAATTCCTGGTCCTTGCTGGTTTTGTGAAACACGCATAAAAATAAAAAATAATTATGAAGCTGTAATTTAATTATTTAGAATATAAGATTAATCATATTTATGATTAATATGCAGAGTATTCTTGATAAGTAAGAGATGGATTTTTGAAGCTTGCAAATGGCAAACTAGATATTAAGTTTGTCCATCCCAAAAAATATCAAATAACTCCAATGATAATAATAAACTATTTTCTCAAATTATAACCAACTCTATAGTAATTGTTAAGCCTAAAAATAGTGATCAGCCAAATGCTCAGACAAAAAGTCACATAATGAAAAATTTAAATCCAGTCGATCTGCAGTTGGAGCTCTCAAAAGTGAAAAATAAAAGTAAGGGGGTAGTAATTGGCTGTAAGAGTGCTCAGGTTGCTAATAAATTTAATCAAGAGTTGAAAAATTTAAGATTAAACTAAAAATTGTGGGAATATCTTTCCTATATTTGAAAACTGATTTTATTGACTTTCCGAAGCAAAATAGCATGTTTATGGATGGTAGTACATACAGGCTGTTACAAATTCGCTTCTCACTACAGGGATCTTGGAAACGGTAAGAGATACGAAGTAGTTAAATGGGGGCAAAGTTGCATAATCAGGGGACCGACATTATGCCTCTAAAAAATCAAGGCTAACATGATTAGTTTTCGAGATATTTGAAAAAAAACGAAATTTTGCAAATCCGTTTTTATGTAATTTCAGCCTTGTTTGAGGTGATATTGAAAAAAGAAGAACACTTTCTCATGGTCACTTTTTGCCCTCTATCGAATGACAATCAATTTTTATATGTAACGTTTCGTCTCTACAGGACCATCATCAACTTCATTTTTTTAAATACGACCCTAGAAATTTTATTACATTTTTTGCAAGCCTTCACGAGCCCCGTACTGTACTGCCTCAGCACGAACCAGATTCAGACGTTTCGTCTTAAAAAATTCCTCTTCAATGCATTCAGTCAAATAGTTTAAGTAGCAGAACTAATTTAAATACTGATCTGCAAATCATATTCGCTTTTATTATCAAAATATTCGCAGTATTAGAGGTAAGAAATTTGATTTGTTAATATCTACTTCTCCCTTGCGATTATGATGTAATCGTCCTGTGTGAAACCTGGTTATTTTCTAGATAGTGATAGTGTTCTAGATAGTCAATTATTTTGTAATAATTATGTGGTCTTCAGGAAAGACCGTAAATTTACGGAAATTGGTGTGAGATGTGGTGGTATTCTTTTTCCGGTAAAGAACATGTATGTGGCGGACACATCCGCAATAAAGATTTTTACTTAATTGATATATATTTTCCTCTAAATAGGTGTGCTTCCCTTTATGAACTTGTTTTTAAAAGTATTAGTGCTAGTTTTAATCTTCAAAATTATGAAGAATTGGTTATTTTGGGTGATTTTAATATTCCAACATATATAGGGTGAGTCAGTTTTTTGTAGACAAACTTTAACAGGAGATAGAACACATGTTTTTAAAAAGAAAAGTTCCTATAAACATATGTCGTAGAATGCTTCATTTCCGAGATACGGGGTGTTGAATATAATTTTTTTTCCTCGAATATTCATTAATAATAATAAAGGAATGCTTAGATTTTTTTCATGTTTGGGAAGTAATGCCTATTAATTAAGGGGCATAAAACAAGCGAAAAAAGGTTCAAAAACTAGCATAGTGGCGGAGTGGAGGGGGTGCTCAACCCCTTTCTTAAACAGAACTTCCACGCCAATGACTATTTTTTTTAAAAAACTGTTATTTTCATTATCTACATATAGTTTAACAAAAATAATGTCCATTCTTCTGTCTCAAAATTCCTGTGCGTTTCCTAGTTATTTTAATTTTTAGTGTTTGATGTGGAACTTAATTAAGTAATTTATTTATTATCAATTATCTGCTGAATATTTAATTCTTTCAACGAAACCTACCGAAATATGGTTTGATAAGGATTCTAAAAAGCCGAAATCTCTAATTCTTTATCTCTTTCCAATGTAGTCAAAATAAATATTTATTATATTTTATTTATATAAAGCTATACTCAAATACAAGACTTTTATAAGTTGAAATCTGTTACATTATATACATACAATACATTATTGTGCAGTTGCCAAAAAGTTTTAAGAAGTTGTTAATTAAATATTGTTATAAATTCAAAAAATTTCTCCATAAACATTAACATCAATGTTCATTCAATGTTTTTTTTTTTGTAATTTAGTTGCAGTACATAATAACTAAGGATTGTTAAAATTAGTGTACTAAACAGATTTCAACTTATAAAAGTCTTGTATTTTAGTATGGCTTGATATAACAAACATTTATTTTGACTACATTGGAAAGAGATAAAGAATGAGAGATTTCGGCTTTTTAGAATCCTTATCAAACCATATTTCGGTAGGTTTCGTTGAAAGAATTAAATTTTTAGCCGATAAATTAATTAATTTAGTACCACCACATCAAACACTAAAAATCAAAATAACTTGGAAACGCACAGGAATTTCGAAACAGAAGAAGGGACATTATTTTTGTTAAACTATGTAGATAATGAAAATAACAGTTTTTTTTAAAATAGTCATTGGTGTAGAAGTTCTGTTTAAGAAAGGGGTTGACCACCCCCTCCACTCCGCCAATGTGCAAGTTTTTGAACATTTTTATCGCTGCTTGTTTTATGCCCCTTAATTAATAGGCATTATCTCCCAAACATGAAAAAAATCTAAGCATTCATTTATAAGTTATAATGAATATTCGAGGAAAAAAAATTATATTCAATACCCTGTATCTCGGAAACGAAGCCTTCTATGACATATGTTTATAGGAACTTTTCTTTTTAAAAACATCTGTTCTATTTCCTGTTAAAGTTTGTCTACAAAAAACTGACTCACCCTGTATAAATTAGATACGTAAATAGTAAACATTTTGATGACAAATTTGTTGAAGCTTAGTGAACTTTTTGGGCTCAATTAATGCAATTACGTTTTAAATACACGCAGGACAGTCTTGGCCTTGGTATTTTCTAGATCAACTTTATCTATTATTGGATCAGATTTCCGTCTTGTAAATGAAGACCCGACGCTCATGAATCACCCGACGCTCGATATTTTGTATTACAAAAAATCTGGTAAATTTTATTTACTGATAATGTGATAAGCAGGCGTGTAGCTAGAGGGGGTAGGGGGTGGGCATGCCCCCCCTTAGAGAGCTCGGTGCTCTCCCCAGGAAAAAAACGATATAATAATATCACCTTTTTGGTCGGACTAGCAGGCTGATTAGCTGCCCCTCAAAGCCCACCCCAAGCAAAAATCCTACCTACGTTCATGGTGATAAGTGATTAAATAGATTTTCAGAAGATATACCTGGTTGTAGAGATACGTAATATATGATTATTAGTCTCTTTGATGATGGAAAATGACCCAAATTAACTTGATGTTTCACATCAGCAATGATTCATTGAATAGGTACGTCATAGTCCACTATTCAACATTCGAGGTCAGTCCTGACCTGTACAATAAACGCGCAAACGTGGAACGTTTATAGATACATCGCAGTGCCGACGTATTCAGTTTGAATTTCGAAGTGTGGTGTGTTGTAGTTGGATTTTTCTAACAATTTTCAACATGAGTAATGTAATCGGTAAGTTCAAAGTTTTTCAGAAAGCGGGAGTTACATAGCGAAATATCGAATTTTATCTTGAAAAGTTGACTATTTAGATAAAGTTGTGCCTTATCAATTGTGTTTACTTATTAGAAATGCTAGAGCTTATCTTTACGATGTTTATCGATCTAATAGCGTAGATCGAAAATCGATAGATGGTTTTTATTAAATTTGTATTCAAAAATACTTCTATGGCATAAAACATATGTTTTAATATTACTTGCATGTACTACTAAGTAATAGGAAATGTCTGATTTGTCGCAGCGCTAAATTTTAAAAAACAGGGAAAGTTTTCAGTATTGTAAACGATAAAAGTATTTATAGATACCGCAACTAAACATGTATACAGTCGCCGGCATCTTATTAAAAACCGGTACCTCGCTTGAGTTATTTTATGTAGACGATAATCGTTGGACCTCTCTCTTTATTTTTCGCATGGGAACAATATTTATGTATCTAAAAATAGTTTTTTTATGAAAATATAGCTTTCCAATATATTAATATTTAAATGATAGAGTATGTATAAAATATGAGAAAACTGCTTTGCCTACGGGGTGTTTGGAAAATAACCTGAACAGTTTTTTGACAAATGAAAAAAAAACTTGTAATAACAATACTTCATATCGGCTATATATTTTTGGTAACTATTTACTTTAGTGGCACCACCTCCAATTTTCACAAAATTTTGGCTACCCCCCTATTTTCCATGGTGCTGAACACGAATCTGAAGTTTTTTTTGTGCGGTCGAACCCAGTTTTTGAGAAAAAATTTTTTCAAAATTCTGACCTGAATATTTCAGATAACACTACGTAGAACTCTGTATATTTTATGTAGCTTTCAGAACATCTGTAATGAACAACAATGAACATTGTTTAAGAAACACATTTTCCCGAATTTGAACTAAAAAAAAATATGTATTTAATAAATAAAATTATAGTAACTTTATGTGGGATGAACAGAGTTGAATGAGAGTGGGGGAACTCAATGTTGTCATCACGAATTACAAATGGCGGATTCAAACTACAAAATTTTGGAAAGCTACAAAATATACAGAGTTCTACGTAGTGTTATTTGAAATATCCAGGTTAGAATTTTGAAAAATTTTTTCTCGAAAACTAGGTTCGACCGCACAAAAAAAACTGCAGATTCGTGTTCAGCACCATCGAAAACAGGGGTGTAGACAAAATTTTGTGAAAATTGGAGGTGGTGCCACTAAAGTAAATAATTACCATATTTTTGACAATATTTTTTTTATGTAAAATGAATTTATTAGCTTAGTGCATTTTTTGTGTAAAAAAGCATTTTTCGATTTGTGTAAATTTTGTAACAACTTCTTGACAGAGTTAAGTACCTACCTACTTAAATCTTTTTTCAGCAAACAAATTAAAAAAAGAATTGGAACGCTATAATAGTTTTAAAAGAATATTATGTATTTACGTAGTTCTAATTAGCAGTAAGATGATAAAATATTCATCATTTATCATATATTATTTGCATTTAGCGTTTAAGTTACAACTTTACTTTATTACTAGGTTTTTATTATTCCCACTAGCACAAACATTATTAAATTTTGTTTAATAGTGTAGTTTTGACGTTCATGGTCAAATAATATAAAATTATTCAAAATTAGCTTGTTTTTCAAAATTTGCATATCGTAATATTAATTAATGACGAAAGATGCCTCTTTAATTATCTTCAATCAGGATATCAAGGTAAAATGAAAGGATTTTTAAATAAATATTGGATTCCTATCTGGTACATAAATAATAAGCCATAACAGACAAGAATGTATTTTTGTTTGTAAAACTAATAATTAATTATTATTATCACTGTTTACCTGTTTACTGTTTATTATACCTGTTTACTGTTTACATTGGTGGCGCCTTCAAGGATTTTGTTTACATGTCTTTTCTGTTTATTAACAGACACAATATAATATCATGTTGCTGAAGTATAATTTCCTAAACTCTGTATAGGATAGGTACAATATAACATTGTTTTCTAAATCTTGTCACGAAAAGTCTGGTTAAGTATTTACTGGCGCCCAAATGACAATAATAAAAGCCTCCCAACGATAGGAAAATAATTTATTGGGCTATAAAAGATGGGAATTTGATTTGAAACTTAAATGATGGTTATTGGAGTTATTATAGTTTTCATGACGCATCTAAAATTCTACACAAAATTACTAACTGCCTGTAAAGATATTGGGCTATAGCGTGCCGGAACGGAATTGATTGCTTCAAGATTTATTTTTAAAACACTCAAAGAAGTACGGATCATATCCGAAAATACCAGTAAAGCTGACAAATAGGTTAATGTGATTTTAGCATGTCTCCTCGAACTCCTGAGGCTATGTCATTGATTAAGTGTTGTATTACGTCATGCTACGCGACCTCTAGTTCACTTGACCATTTCTGTTTGTATGAGGCAATAAAAACAGCTATTTATAGATATGTAGTCATTGTTATTTAAGATATTATAGAATGCACATTTTTGACGTGACTTGTTTATTAGTAATAATTATGTGCAGAGAATATAATGGCTCAATGAGTCCTTTTCAAATAACTAGCACGACGAATACCGATAACTTTTGATAGGTACTACATATCTTCGTGATAAATATATATTGTAACGAATTCAAATACCCACTCGCCATTTAAATATTTTTAAACGTCTTTTTTTTAGATTTGAGGCATAAATGCATAGTAAAGCACACGCGCAATTTAAAAACAGCGTAACAACAGCAAACTTTGACGAGTTTTTTATTTAAATCTAAATGCTAAGCTTTACAGGAGTTAAAATAAATAAAATTATAAGTTTGGCTTGTATGTCCAAATTGCAACATTCAATTATTTTAGTGCAGTTTTGATCACAAGAAAATTTCCTACGTAATTTTTTTCTAAGTACTAAAATAAAAAAAGGTAAGGAGAATACAATGTTATGCGAATAACACTGTATATAATTTTGTTTTGAAAACTGAGTTGTTTTTTTACTTCTATTCACTCTGCTACCGCAAATTCATTTCATGTTAAAGTGTAAAGTTAAAGTGTACCTTCCTAAATCCTAACTGCAGCGCATGAAGGTTACATTTCTGAGCTGAAAATTGAGGTCAAACAGCTTGTAGATCCCATATATTTTAATGTCTTTTTTAATTAAGCTGATGAAATGATGTGTCATATTACTAATAGAAACATTTTATGAAAAATTAAAAGACATAAATAAGAACAGATTGCAATTCTTGACTACGCCCCTGCATCTGACGGCGCCGCTCTGGCATGCTTGTTCGGGGATGATGTAACTTCAAGGATTTCATCCAAATCAATGAACCATTTTTAGGCTACCGCATAAAGACCATTTCTGGTTCACTGCATCATTTTAAGATTGGTTGAGTTCCAGAAGTATATTTTTTTAATGATTTAATTTAATATTCTGCTAAGAAATTCATTTTATACGATACCTACTGTTAACTAACCATGTTTTTATGTTTTTGTTAACAGGTTTTCTTGATTTACTTAGTTTTCGATTATAAATATACAAATTATTTTTTTAATAGTGTATACGTATTTAATAACCATTGATTTTCGTAACATTTTACCAATCTTTTTGCTTCAGACATAATGTCTAATGAAGTGCTCAGCAATCTCATTGTCAGTTATTCCAATTTAATACATATTGTTAGAAATAATGCAATAAAACTCGGAAACGTTGTAAAACGTTATAATTAAATTAACTTCGAATAGTAAGTATTTTACATGTTACGTAGTTGGTGTATATCTAATGAATGCCTCAAGTCAGCCCTTATTCCGCTCTAGCCGGAATGTTTATCTTTTCTTCCCCCTTCACTTTGGGTCCCGCACACTTAGGCGTCTAGATGACTCTCGGTGTTTACGTCCGAGCTTGGGCATCAGTCATCACTTTCCGACAATATATATTTTAATTACCGAAAATGGTGGTGGAGATTATTTATTTTTTAATTTTGTAAATACTCATTTTTCAGCTACGCTTTATAGGTCTATATGAAATTTGTATTTTTTTAACCCACAAGTTAGTAAAATTGTAAAAAGACGGATCTATTTAACCAAAAAATATTCATTCAATTGCATTTAAGAATAACAAGTTCTGTAGATAATAAAGCTAAAAAAAATAATATTAGTATAAAAATTGGTAGAAGACATTTTTTGAAATTGACATAATTTACGGCATTTTTCTGAAAAAATGTTTGACAAATTAGAAAATTACTGTTTTCAAAGCAAGTTTTCAAAAATAGTTTATTAATAAAAGAGAATAGAAAAAACAGAAAACATAAAAATTCACAAAATTGTTCCTAAAATTGTGAGAGGAATACAATATTGTTTGAAATTTTGGGAAAATCTACAATTTGTTAATAATAATTGTTAAAAATATCATAAATAAATAAATGTCGAATTTCACAGAAATTATTCTTGTCACCATTTTACGAAAAATGAGCAGTTTGTCACCTTTTTCAGATATTACCACAAAATGAAATAATATGGCAAAAGACTTAATCTGTCCCTAGTTCTATATTTTTGCATGAAACTATTATTTAACTTTCTGTTGTATGTACAGTCTGTATAATATTTGTTGAACTGGAATTTCAAGAAAATTATTGTAACTACGGTAACATTTACCTCAATAAATATCGCACTGTATACAGATATATTTATAGATATTTTTTTGCAGAATTACAGACTGAAGATCGACTCGAGTACAATTTCTTTCCAAATTCTTCTGGAGTCGTTCAGTTCAGAGTAAGAGCGCCCAATGATGCCCACATTGTACTTTCTACGGCAGCGGCCGAAGTTGATCCAATGTATGAGATTTTCATCGGCGGTTGGGGAAACAGCAAGTCTATAATTCGTAAAAACAGGTCTAAACCCGACGTAGCCGAAGTGCCTACACCTGGCATTCTCAACGAGAACGAGTTCCGTGGATTCTGGGTGCGATGGCAGAACGGCACTATTTCGGTCGGAAGAGAAAACGAAGTTCCACCATTTTTGAGCTGGTCCGATACTGAAGTTGTTCATATCGAATATGTTGGAGTTTGTACTGGTTGGGGCGCTCGTGGAGCATGGATCATTGAACCACCTAGAGGAGGAGGTAAGCATTCCAACATTTTTTTATGATCATTGCTTGATTAAAATTTATTTCGTTCAGGCGTGCCACGTCCAGGAGCACCTCCAGCCAATCTTTCCTCCGTATGCTGGGTACCCTCAAGTAATGGTCAGGTTCCACCAAGGTCATTTGCAGGTGGCGAAGACAATGGCGAACCCGTCTACGTAATCAGAGCGCAATTCAACGGTGGCATCATTCCCGGAAAACTGGTTCCAAGCCACGGACAGAGTTACGTGCCATGGGGTGGTCAAGAAAATCCAATGCCTCAGTATGAGGTCCTCTGCGACTTCCCTGGGCAGTGGCTGGCTGTTTCAGGTGGTAACATTCCACCAAACGCTTTGACAGCTGGCCAGAGCGAGGACGGAGAACCGCTGTATATTGGAAGGGTAGTCCACGATGGCGCTCTCACCGTGGGAAAAGTACAGCCAAGCCACGGTGTTTGCTATATCCCCTATGGAGGCCAGGAATTGTCTTTCCCCGAATACGAGATTTTGGTACAATAAAAGGACTGAGTTTGTTTACAGGATTTGCTTTTTATATTCTGCATAGGACATCGCAATCGATGTATTATTATTTGTTACTTAGACAAGCTGAGATGTAAACACATAATATATAGCTTCTAGGTGCTTCTTAGTACCTACAAAGTATTGTATTTTTATATAAAGTATATATAATTTTGAATGTTATCTAATATTTATTTCAAATATTCAGGCAGTTTATTCCTCTAAGTGTATTACGCACAGTTGTCAGAGTTTTGTTTTATTTACTGTAATAATAATTTCTATGGATTTCTTTTTATTTTTTCATATACCTGTCCCAAATAACCTAGATCAGTTTCCTTACATTTGTCCAAAGTGGACCAATTTTTAACCTTGGGTGTTTTTCGTATTTGTGGATAGATAGATAAGTTGAGATACGTATTATTTTTGATGGTTCCATTGTAATATCAAATAATTTTTTACAATTTTTTTTGTATTTCTCTAAATGATTTTTATTCAGCTTTTCGCAGAGAAGAAGAAGTGTACGCATCATTTTTGTGCAACTTCCAGTTTTTCAGTTATGACAAATATATGTTGTTAAATGAAACATCCTATATGTTCTTTGATTTTTATTTTACAAATTTTATTAACAAAAAATATACCTACGGTGTTTTTTTTTTGAAATAACCCTATTATAATTTATAAGACATTTTTTTAAATATATTTTATAATTCGTAAAAATTTGTAATCAATGGAAAATTCAGAAAGATAAAGTAAACAAAGAAGGTGGATCTAATAATTTTGTGACCTACATCAGAAAATATTTAATGAAATTAGTAGTCAATGGGGTGGATAACAGAGCATTATAAAAAAATTGAAAATACATGTCCTGTGTCTAGATTGTCGAGAACTTGGTGAAGGTGTTATAAAATATCTTTTATAATAATATTTTTTTTTAATTTAAGAATTTGTATTGTACATGTACATTTAACAGCGGAAAATGTACCCACACACTTGTTCCGTAGTAATCTTGGCTATTGAAGTAAACATATGATATATGTAGGTATTATTTTAAAGGGTAGAGGAATTCAAAAGATAACACTTAAAGAAAATAGAAGAATGAAGGATAACAACCATCTTGGTACTATAGTAGGTAAAATACTACTAAAAAAACAAATGTTTTGTACAGTCGACGCAAGATAAAGGTTTCCAAACTGAATCGTATTTTGTTTGAAATATTACGGCTTAACCGCTTGTCTATATGGGGCGTTCCCATTAGACTCGCGCGGCAATATTTTCTTTTAAATTTTAAAGTGACAGGTGTCAATTTTGTAGGCAGAAAACCGTTATTTAGTTAGAGATTTCAGAGTGATTTATTAGTAATTTGGATAGTGATTCATTAAATAGCGATTAGTTGAGTTGTATTTAGTGATTCTGTAGTGTACAGAGTAGTAAGTGTAAATAGTTTAAAAAATGGCTCAACTGTACCCTCGTCGCAGAAGTCGGGTGATTGCAATGCTGGAAAATGGTTGGTCAGCAAGAGGTGTTGCCAGAGAACTTCATGTGAGTCACACATGTATAAATAAACTCCATCGTAAATGGGAAATTGAGCTGTCAGTTGATCGTCGATCAGGAACAGGAATCAACAGAAAAACTACCGAAGATCAAGACAGAGCATTGGTAGCATACGTGCGAGAAAATCAATTTACAGATATGCACCACGCAATAGAGGCAACGGGCTTCCCCGGTTGTAAAAATACAGCTACAGCAAGATTAAAAGAACAAGGACTTTTTAATTATACGGCTCCTAGTAAAGAACTTCTAACAGTCCAGCATCGTGAAAGAAGACTTCAATTTGCCAGAAATTACATTCAACAGGGGCAACAGTATTAGAATAACGTCATATTTTCCGACTAAAAAATATTTCAATCCACCAATTCTGGAAAAGTTAGTCTATCGTCCAAAATATTAGCGATTTCATCCGAGATATGTCTGCGAAAGAGCTCGTAGTTGTCGCTTTTCTGTGCCTACTTGGGCATGGATATCAGATGCCGGACCCGGAGTAATTTGGAGGATTGAGGGAAATTTAACAGGCCTTCAGTACCGCACTATATTATCCGATATCATGGTACCCTTAGTTTCAGTATTCCACAGACAATTCATTTTTCAGCATGATAATTCACCAGTGCATACATCAGCTGTAGTTAGGGCATTTATTGAACAAAATAATATAAACGTTCTTCCTTGGCCAGCTAAAAGTCTCAATTTGAACCCGATTGAAAATTTATGGGCTTATGTAATGGGTCAGTTGAATGAACAGTATGACGATATTCCACCAAATAGAGATACGCTCTGGGAACGTATATAAAATATTTGGAACGGTATAGACGTGAATTATATACGACGCCTTGTTACATTATTAATAAGCCGTTATTGATTCGGATGGTATGGTTGGACAAAATATTAGACTGTTTTGTTTTTTCATTGTTTATAAAATGATGTCAAAATAAGTAAATAAGTTCATAACATTATGGACCCGGCTTCCATTCTGATAGATGTAGAATTAAAATAAAATCATGTTTTTCTAAATATTTCGAAAACGATTTAAAGATATTACACTGAACTTTGGCGTATAGTACAGTGGCAGTGTAATATCTTAAATCGTTTTCGAGATATTTAGAAAAAACCGGATTTTAAATTTCCTTCGATATCTATCTCAGAAAGGAAACATTTCCGGACCCATAATGTCATGAACTTATTTACTTATTTTCACTTCCAGAACACATCCTTAAAATATTTCCCTTTCCTCCCGAAACTGTATAAGTTATAATAAAACTGTAGTTTACAATATTTTTTTATTTTGTTGCCTTCATGACTTACCTACCTACTTTCTGCAGAATATGACAAATTCTTATTTCAAAATATTAATTTTTAATAATTAAGGACAAGAAAAATAATGTGGCAAGACAAAATAATTTCAAAATCTGTATACTCTTCTCTTTTTATAATGCATATACTAAAGGCCTGCAATTTATTGTTGTTCCTATTAATTCCTATTAATAGTCCACCGGCTCGCCCCTGTAAAAGTAGTATGCCTTTTAGGTTGGAAACCTTTATCTTGCGTCGACTGTACATACTATTTATTAAAAAAATTGAAGTATCACTAAATGTTTTTTATAACGATCTTGGTAGTATGCAGTTTTGATATAAGTACGATACAAAGAACTATTATGTTTTGAATTAACAAGATCAAAACGATATATTGTACCGGCAAAAAATGACACGCTTTTATTAAAAAAGTTGCCACGCCACTGTCTCCAGCGTCCTTCAAAACAGGTACGTACCAATAAAAAATATCAACCTTTGACCTCGGTTTTGAATTGAAAATTAAAATATGTTGTCATCCAAGCTGAAAAATTGTCGAGATATTGGAATATTTATTTTGCAATTAAAATTGTTTGTCGTAAACACCAAATTAATAATATTTGTTGGGTGTCACAGAAAAAGACCTTGAATTAATTATTATTTTTCTAGACATTCCTAATGATTTTTCTCAATTTTTTGTCCCATTAAAAATTTTAGGTATTGATCTGATGGACTGAGATATGGTATCTTGATTTAAAGTACCTACAGTTCTTTGTGGTGATCTATATTAGACAGATAAATTACTCAAACCGACTCATTAGGTAATCAGAATATTACAGGGTGTCTTGGTTCTCAATGAACGCTACTTATTAGTAAATAATTTAATTGAAAATATTCTTAACTCTTGAATTAAAGTCGAATATATTAAAATAAAATTAAGAATTTGTTAGTAATTCATGAAAATTCTAAAGAATGTAAATCAATGAAATTTCTAGAAAGCATTTTTCATTAAATTGAGAATATGTTCATATGTTCGTTCATATATGTTCGACTACACTGTGATTAGAAATTTTAAGTTTTCCAGAATAAGTCCTCTTATTTACAATATTTTCGAAGCAGTTAAATATGTAAGTATTTGATTAAACGGAGACAATTGTTAATTTAATAATAATAGTTTATTATTTATGTATAATATAAAAAGAAATATGTATATACATACAAAACATACATACATAACAATACCTTTTCCTTACCCAATATGCCTATTTCTTTTGAATCAGGCAACGAAAATTTAAAAATTATTCGGGATACTCCAACTATAGTATAGGATCCCACCATAAAACGACCTTCACCGAGCTGGTTAATGGATGAAAAGTATTTTATATCCAATTAAGTATGTCAATAAATATATTGCAAATGGGTTGTCTAAAAAATTTCAGTCCAGAATATGATTAATTAACAATTAAAAAAAAATTTTTTGTAAACATTTCACTGGATTGGTTAATAGACAAATTCCATACCAATCGAAAGTATGAAGCCCATAGAATATGCAAACGTGAGGTTGACAATTTTTTTCCCGTCACAACTCTTGGGTAGGTAGGTATAAACAGGTAAATCGATACTAGTAACTTGCACCGGTCTGGTTAATGAATTAAAGTTAAATTAAAATAAAGATTATTTCATTACGAACACGGTGGTATAGGGTTGTCTGTGAAAAATCAGTCCTGAATTTCGGTTGTCGAGTTTTAAAAAGTAGTCCAAACGGTATCTGTTTCAAAAAGCCGTATTTGGGTGAATCGTATATCCACGGCGATTTTTGGTTTTTTGGCTTTCAAATATCACTAGAAATGAAAATTTTTCTATGCGCATTAAAAAAAACTTGGGCTTAACTTTTCGCGGCACAATACGTTAAAAAAATTCGAACAATGTCATATTTTTCTTCCTATTTAATTATGTATCTTTTCAAGAGTTGATTTTAGGCGAAAATCGAAGATGAAAAAAATATTTGTAATTAAATTTTTTACAAAACATGACCAGTTACAAATCGAATGAATCATGATTATTATGGTAAAAATCGAAAAAATCGCAAAAATGGGGTTAAAAATCAATACCTTTTAGGGAATTTTTTTGGGGTATTTAAATTCGGTATTGGACCTTTATACTTGCCTCAAGAAAAGTTCGGTTAGATAGATTTTGCAATCCAGATTTTGAAAAAAAATTGCAAATTTTCAAAATTCTGCACAGCAAAAACCAAGGCCCTTAGATACTTGAAAATTTAATCACATATAGAAGGGTTCTCAAGCTTTCAAACTTTTTTGAAAAATTCGAATCCGTCAATTAGGAGAGCTCTGGCGCTTGTTTAAACGTTGGTCGAATTTTTGTACTTATAAACAATTAGAATAACTTTGGGAATATTCAAACCAATTTTTTTAAAGCAGCAGGTTTTAAAAGTCCTTGGAATGACGGTTATTTAAAAAAACAGATCGATTGGTCAATTAGTTACGTAGTTATAGCCGATCAAAGTTAACCGTCATTTACACTAAATATACTGAGACATCCGGGCTAATTTTTCGAAAAATACCTTTGGTATTCCGAGTACTTACCAGGTCTAAGATTACAATACTTTTCTTCGTTGGCAACCTACTTTAAAACGTGTTTAAAGTTATTTGAAGTAATAGACTAGTACTTACAAATGCAAAGTTGTAGGAAATAACTTGATTAAGAAAAATTTACAATGCCAATTTTTTACAAATTTGACTGACCACGCCGAAAAATATTAAAAAATATGTAAATTATCAGAAAAATACACTTTATAAAATAAAAAAAAGTTTCATGCTGTAGGTTTTTGTTTTAAAAATTTAGTCGATTACCTTCATTTACAAGCATCTTTTTAGGGGTGAACCGCTCGCCTATAATGAAGAAAAACTTTTATTGATCAGTAGGTACCTATTTAAAATTTGTATGACATTTATATCCAATACAACCCCATACCTAATTATAACTATGCGTAATTTTAAGAAGTATATCGTTATTTTCTGATATTACGTCTTAGCATTGAGATGAAATTATTAACTATAAGGCAGAACGTCGCACGAAATTTGTGTAATATTTGAACACTGACTCACACCAAGAAGAATTGACTCACGGGATGTGTCATATTCATAATGAGTGGATCAATGTTGGTCGAGGTGGTATGAGACTCAGCGTAATGATCGTTGACTCATATTATGAGTGAATCAAAATGACGTGAGATTTATTTTTTAACCTTTGGTAATTGGGAAAAAATGTACTAAACCTTCACTGTCTAGATGATAGGTATTATTATTTCATGGATAACTAATATACACTCAGCTAAAAAATTAAGGGAGCAGAAAAATTTCCAAATTTTTTTAGTGATTTTTGAAAGGCTGTAAAGAAAAGCATCTTGAAGTTTCTATATTCTAATTTTGTAATGTGCAGTCAATTTAGCTCGACTTGCAAAATTCGTTTGCAAAACTCTGAATAGGTGGGCTACTCGTAGCTCGCCTCTACACCTGTAAAGTGTTTACAGCGGTGGTCATGGGTACCGTCGCTCAACAGTGAAAGACGGAGTGTGAGTAGCACATATTTTCTATGCAGTTTGGGCTCTGTTTAATCCGACTGTATAATAGCTATTCACCGCTTTTTTTCTTAATAAATGTAATTTGCTCAGGTGTGGTGTAAAATTTTGTTACTTACATATTGTTTCTAATGTGTTTTTTTTTTAATTGTAGAAATTTAAGTTGATTGTAGCACTTGTAATGATATCGATGGTGCGAGAAATACTAAACTTTGATGAAAAAGTGATTGAAAAATTTATTTCGGATAAAAGCAGAATAAACAGCGCATAATCTAAGGATTAGATCTGACCGAAAAAGCAGTTCTTAAAAAAAAAGTTAGTTTTAAAAGTTAAAAAGGGCAGTTGCAAAATTTGATTGCTTGAAGTACTATGAAATTGAAACATGAATACTTGTTAAATGCCGGTCCTCTAAAAGGTTAATAAATAAATAACATTTTATTGAAATAAAACAATGACTATGTACTTTGAATACAGTTCATGAACATTTAAAATTAATAAACTCGAAAGGATATAACAAAGAATTAGAGTTTATTGTACGGCATTTAAAAGGTACTGAATTTGGGGGGGGGGTAATTGGGCTTTATGTTGGGAATAACAAGTTATTTGCACAAATCGATTTTTCGGCCGCTTTCTTTGAGCTAGCATAGGGTGATTGATTTTGGGTAGTTCTTAAAATTCCTTAGATTATCCCCTGGAATGAACATTCACTGTAAAAAATAATCTTGAGTATATTTTCCCTATATTTAATAGTAGGTACTTAAAATGAAAATAAGATTAACTTCTTATTTGTGGAAGGGCGAAATGGGCGGTGACTATTAGACGCCTTCATTATAGCCGTCTTTCTCTTTCTCTATCGCACGGATTTCTATGACTTTCTTTATCGCTCTCACGTAACGGCCGATGAACCATGGGGACTTTCCGACCCTGTAGATATATAGGTAGGTATGTTGTGAAAATTATTGTTTACGAAAGAAATAAAACAACCAATTTTATATGAAAGCATTTACTTATAAGCAAGAAAACATAAAAGCCATTAGTTTATTGTCGCAAAAAAGTTTGCTATAAAGAATGTCTCATTAATCATTATCAACTATATTTAAATTCTTAAATCTATGAAATATACTTGTCTTCTTCACGTACTTTGGTGACTTTCATTATTCATCAATAACTTCAAACTTTGCCGAACCTACGATATCCAATAATTGCTTAGATGTAAATGTAGCAATCAATTTCTGTTCCCCATCAAGTTTCGGAACTATATCTACGTCTGTTTTGACTACAGCACCTGGCTTCACATCCGGGTATGGTACAACTTGATTGCGGATAAGAGAGGATCCGGAAATGTTAAACTTACAGTTTGTCAGAACTTTCTTCAGTGGATTCACAAATCTGAGGGTTATTGTGGTGGTTTTCTTTAAGGGAATTTCTGGAGGAATCTTAAAAAAATATGTATTATGTAATTGATGTAGCTAGTAATTACTGGTTTTGCTTGCTTTATTGATCTAATGATTTGAGATCATAGTACACGAAAACCATTTTTTATACTGTTATTTTATTTCAATTCTTTGAAAATGTTCAAATTCCTACCCTCATATTTATTGGTTTCTAAATAGCTGCGTTGACTTACTTTTATTTGGATGTGAGGTTTGAGGACCTGAAAATCATCCTCATCTGCCCAGGTTTGTCTTGTTTCTGTAACTGTAGCAATGGCATATATTTTCATATTGCAGTATTCTACCAATTTTTCCAAGTAATCGTCTGCAGTAACATTCAATTTTAACTCTTCACCTGAAAGGAAAAAGATATTTTGGTAGATATAGCTTAATAGCTAATTTTCAGTTTAATTACGGATGGACAAGGTTCATATAGTATTTTCTCTATACAAACTATATTAAAAAATATTTATACAGGATGCTTCTTAAGTAATGGTATATGTTTGGGTGAAAGTACAATTACATTACAATGAAATTTTGCTTCTTCAAATGTTCCGGACCTTTAAAGACATTTTTTTTATTATTTATGAATATGAGCTCATAATTTTCAGGACCTTAAACAATCAATATTTTATGTTCTTGTAATATTTTTTTCTGTTGATAGACGTTTTGAAAAGGCAGGTGTTTTTTAAAACGCCAATTTACTTTCTTTAAAAAAAAAGTGTACCTACTTCATATATGTCACCAAAATGCATAAAGAAAAATTAATTCAGATTTTTACTACAGTCATCAGCTATGACAGTTGTGTGATTGATATTTTTCTAAGTAAACTTCACTCTTTTACTAACTTTGCAACTACGTTAAACATTTTTTATCACCATTTTAAGATCAATACTAACCGAGATTAGAGCCCTGTTAATATACTTTCGAAGTATTGCATTCAGAGATTGTAGAAATATTTAATTTAATTGCGAATTTAACGAAAAAATGAAATTTAATTAAATTCGAATACCTCAAACTCAGGTACATTTTTTTACAGTGAACAAAGTAGCATTTAAAGAAAACCTCTGTTTTCTCAAAATATCTACTTACACAAAATATAAAAAATATGAAAACAAAAAACTGTTTAAGGTGATCTTATTATTAGTGACTTTAGTGTTAAAACAATAATATTCATATTCGGCCACCTCATTCCCTTCCGCCGTATCAATGTCAAATATCTTAAGTATCTAAAAGTCCCGTCTTTGAAAAATGAATGAAAAAAATCGTTTACTTTTTAAGGCAACCAAAATGTGCTGAGGTAACTTAATCTAAGTTAGTATATTTCCACCCGAGAAAGTTACTCTGCAAATATGTACTATTATTTATGTGACACTTTGTACAGTGTCTTCATATACGATTACAAGTAATATGACCAGTAATTTTATTTGGAACAGTAACTTTATTTCTTTCACGTTGGCAATTAAATTCCGATAAAATTATGGATTATTATTAAAACAGATCAAGATTAATTAAAAAACATTCTGTTTCAACGACTTTCGTTACCAGTAGGTAACCAGTTGTGCAATGTCGGTTGCTGGAAGCAACTTTTAATCCTTATTCAACAAATGCGACTTGACAACTAGTGTATGAACCAAATTATTTAGTTTTCCAAAAAGCTACTTAAAGGGAAAGTAAAGATTGGTCAAATCATTTGAATACCTATTATTTTTTATTTCCCGGCTATGGTGGAAAATCCTAAACTGTATTGAAAAATGTTGTCATTAATCAAGTGGTTTTGAAAAATATCTCTGTTGAATTACCACCTAGACTAAATAGTCCTGTAGCCAGGGGGGGTCCCAATTGCCTCTTTTATTTAGATAGAGTTACCCAAGTGTTTTTTGTGTATTTTGAGCTGCAGAACATGAATTTTTTGGGTAGAAGTTTGCCCGGATGTCGAAACTTGCAAAATACTGAGAACTTAGTTTTTGGCAAAATAAAAAGTTTTTTCTTGTTCTTTGACCCATTTTAAGAAGAAAAAATCTCTTGTAATTTTTTTGTTAAAGCATAGTTTTCGAGATAAACGCCGTTAAAAAGAGCGGTTGCCTTCTTACAGACGTTTAATACACGACCTTGACGCGTACTCTTCATTTCTAGACCAAAGAAACGATGGAAACAGAATGAAACATTAACAATTTAATGAAAATTTGTAATATTACAATAATAAAAATTATTATACAAGTTTAAAAAATAATAATTATAAAAACACCTAAATTATACGATGTTACGCTTTTAATATAAGTAAGTATAAACTTTTTTATTATCGTTTATAAATAAAACTAATATAATTTCGCTAATTTTTTTCATATAAATCGTATAATAATGTTTACAAAGCAAATTAGAATTAACCATGCAAACATTATATCTTTGATATTTCAAATTTTCCGCGCCTTTTTAATGCATTTTGTTTTAAACGATTGTCATTTATTTTTAAAACTTGTTTGTAGTCGCGCTTCAAAATTGCACTGAAGATGTAGAATTATTAACGTTCATGTTACAAGATGAATAGCTTAATTAAATCAGATCTTTGCATTATTTGTCAAAAAAATTTTAATTTTAATTATTGTAATATTTCAATTTTCATTAAATTGTTAATGTTTCGTTCAGTTTTCATCGTTTCTTTGGTCTAGAAATGAAGAGTACGCGTCAAGATCGTGTATTAAACGCCTGTAAGAAGGCAACCGCTCTCTTACATACATGGCGGCGCACCCTTCTGAACGCTCAATCGCTATTTGTTTATAGCTTCAAATAACAGTGGAAAAAACAAATTTTCACACTGCAATTACTCATAATTTGTAGTATTTAACGTGAACTTTCAAACGCCGTCAGCAGAATTACAAAATACCTATTCAATCAAAAGTTATTAACAATTGAAAATCGCAAAAATCGCATTTTTCGAGTTTTTAACGGCGTTTATCTCGAAAACTATGCGTTTAACAAAAAAATTGCAAGAGACATTTTCTTCTTAAAATGGGTCAAATAACAAGAAAGTACTTTTTATTTTGCCAAAAACTAAGTGTTCAGTATTTTGCAATTTTTTTGTTAATAAAAAACTTATCGACATCCGGGCAAACTTCTACCCAAAAAATTCGTGTTCTGCAGCTCAAAATACATAAAAAACACTTGGGTAACTCCATCTAATTGAAGGAGGCAATTTGGACCCCCCTGGCTACAGGACTAAAATAGCCAGAGATATTTACAGTTTCTCCAAGAACAACTACTCAATCTATTAGAGGATCTTCTCTTACAAACACGCATTAATATGTGCTTTATGTAGGATGGTGCTCTACCTCATTTTAGTTTAAGAGTTAGGGAGTACTTAAATAGGGTTTATCCAGATCGATGGATAGGCCGGTCAGGTCCAGTGTCCTGGCCGCCTAGATCACCAGATTTAAATCCTTTGGATTTCCACTTCTAGGGTGATTTGAAAAGACGTGTTTACGCAAGTTCTGTGGCAAGTGAAGATGAACTGCGGCAAAGGAATTTCTACCATAGCCAGGAAATAAAAAATAATATTCAAATGATTTGGAGAGTACAGCCATCCTTAATTAACCGCGCTCGTGAGTGTATTAGGCAAGGCGGTGCTCATTTTGAACAATTCTTATAATAATTAGTAATTTTTAGTCCTAAGTAGATATTTCTTATATTTCCAATTTTTTTCTGTTTTGTTTGTTATTTTCTCTTTAAACGGTTTATGTTTAACTTTCCCTTTAAGTTGTTGGTTCATACACTCGTTGTCAAATCGCGTTAATTTAATTTAAGGGTTAAAAGTTGCTTAAAAACGAAATGCATTGAAATTTGTTTATGCGAATATCTTGATAACAAGGAGATATCGAAAACGAACAAGAGTAACTTATTTATGGAATGAAGGACGTTCTATCAAATTTTCAATACACACTATCCATAATTCTAAAGGCAATTTTCCTCTATTTATCAAAAGAAATCCTAACTGACACCATATACAAGCAACGCCAAAATTAGCTAAAAAATTTTATTTGTCATGTCAAAAAACACAACTGTGCGCCAATTTTTATATGTTCATACTCTGATACTTTTCAAAATTATTGAGAAATTTTAAAATAAAATTCAAACACTGAAGGCTCTGTATCTTTGAAACCAGCAACATTTGCATAGCTCAATCGAGATTTTCCAATCTTTCGGAGACATCCTGTATATTTTATCGCATTATTACTTCACTACTTCAAATTTTTTAAGAATCACAGAGCCCTCAGAAATCGTTTTAGGAAAAAATGGTTTGACGAGAAGAATCGGTTCTGATGATAATTTATGACAACGACACTGTAACACTTTGTATATCAAGTTTTTCGATTACTTCCGTACTTCCTAAGACGATTATCGTGAAAATTATACTTACTACTGTTTGGTTTCATTACAAATTGACCTTCTTGTTTGATAATTCGTTGGGCTCTCACGCCAGTGTAGTAAACACTAGCTGCGGATAGTGCACATTTGATGTGACGTTCTTTGTCGCTTTTGTTCTTGATTTTGACAATAACGTTGAAGTTTTCTCCAATTTTGATTTTGTCAAGTTCCTGAAAAATAAAATACACATCTATACCAGAATAATATAATATGGAATACATTTACGATCTTAAATAGTCAATAGCATAAGAATTTGATTCGTCGGTAAAAGGTAGTCAAGAGGGTCCATCTAATTGTTGACACTGGCGACAGTTTTAGTGGAAGTTTCTGACGGTCTATAAATATCAAAATCTGTGAACAAACGTCAGCTCTTGCTTCGACTTATCTGAGTTATCGTAGTTTACAAAATCAATCCGCAACCGTCTTTATGAAAACATGAAGAAACATTGTTTCTATCTTCAATATTTAGATTAAGATCACTACTTTATTTAGATACTTACAAACTTTTGAATGTTAAATGGCAAATTAGTTCATTTTATGAACCTGAAGGATTGCTTCAAATAGTTGAAATTCACTACGATGTCTAATTGGAAAATTACATTTTTAGTAAGGTTATTTCCAAAGTCAAAATAATGTTTAATAAATAGAATTATGATGAAAATAATTAAGAGAAACGTTTACGTTCCATCTTATATTGTTGTATTTTTGTTATTAGTGTCAGTACCTTTGTTTATTTCAGTGAAATTGTATATTTTATAAATAATCTACCTGTAAATCAAACTCCATGTCCTCTAATTCAGGTTCTGGTAAGGCGTAGAATCTCTTTGCTGCCTCAGTTCCTCTGACAGCGTTTAACAGAGAGAGGCGTTCTGCTTCGGTGCCTTCTTTCGCCTTGTACTGAGAAGTAATGTCCAGTCGATCTCTATCTCCGTTGGGATCAAACATGAAAGGGGCTTTTGTAAGGATAAATCGACCAATACTGGAATATTAACGAGATTGAATAATTTAGTTTAAGCTTCTCTAAGTAAGAATGAAAGTAACTAAACAAATAGAAAGACGAATTTACTCTGAAATTATACGATATCATGTGTGCTGAATCATTATAATACTTCAAGACTACTACTCTTTTATATCTTTACTTGCTTTGGAAATTCTCTGACTTACTGATATTTGTTGCAATAGATTTTGGAATATCCCATTTCGCAAGTTTTGTCTTCTTTCCATCTCATTAAATCTGCGTTGACAGAGGCAATCATGAAAGGAATGTCATAATTGAATCCGACATTACCTTTCCTTATGGCTTCTAAAGATGATGGTCCACATTGGTAGAATCCCTCAGATGTTTCTTGAGGCGTCGCATCAATAGCTTGCCAGCCACCATAGCCTGAAATAAATAAGCACAAGTGGAAAAAAAATTTTTGCCGATATCATTTTGTATTTAATTATATTTTGAAATAAATTTTTAGATAATTACAGCAAGCCGTTGTTTGAATTTTTGGTAAATTCACCAGGAAAATAGATTAATATTCTATTGCATAAAATATGTTACTACATTTTGCTTCTTGAAAAAGTTACAGGCCTTAAAAATTTGTTCTATATACAGGGTGTTCTGAGAAACATTAGCATAAATTCAGGGCTTGGCAGAATTTCAAAAAATATTACAATTTGTTTCTATGAACTATGGGCATATCTTTTTCGTTTTCAAGATACAGGGCGTTGAAAATAATTTTTTATAATCTAGTTTCGGTTCTATCTTCCACAAAATTGGAAAGAATTAACTGAAATTTTGTTATGTGGGGTTTCCGGGGATACTAAATGCTCTGGAGTTATTAATTTTTGGCTATATCATAAAGGGCGTTCAGTGCAGTACTCCGCGGGAACGTTTTAAATCCTAACTTTTTCGAGGTTAATTTTTTTTTGCCCTTTTTGTCACTTGCTGTTGTTGCAAATTTTATTCTAAACAAAAAAGGTGCTCTTGCAAGAAGTCCTAAAATTTGTCCTTTTTCGAGAAAAAACAGGCATAGTGCGCCGAAGTCAAGCAGCTAGTATCCCAAATTGTTGTTTTTTATTATTAGAACATGTATTTATTTTAATTCGTGTAATAAGAAATTTCTACTTGCTACGATATGAATACCGGTAATAATTATTCAAACTCGGAATATACCGATATGTTGCTGACTTTAGGCGAATATTTAGGGAACAGTTTTGCTGTGAGGCGATATTCGGAAAGATTTCCTGGTCGCAGATTACCAAATAGAAATACATTTTTGGCCGTTGAAAGGCGATGCCGGGAGACAGGCTCGTTTAAGCCAAAAAAAGTAAATTCGGAACGACCAAGAACTACAAGGACTGCTGAAAAGGAGGACAATATATTAGATATGGTATTTCAGGAGCCCTCAGTGAGTATCAGAAAATTATCACAAAGAGCAAATGTGTCCGTGTGTGCTACTTGGGAAATTTTAAAAGAGCAACATTTTCACCCATATCATTATATAAAAAAGTTATTACCAAATGATTACGAACTCCCAACAGACTTTTGTCAATTGCTGGAAGAAAGACAAAATGAAAATCCGAATTTCCTACGATCTATCCTTTTTACAGACGAAGCGATTTTCACTCGAACAGGAGTGTTTAAAAGTCATAATGAGCATCTGTGGGTTGAACAAAATTCTAGGGCCAAAAAGGAGTCCCAATTTCAACATTCATTTAAAGTAAATGTTTGGGCTGCTGCCACTATAGGGAATCAGTTACCACATCCTGGATAGTAATTTAAATGTGACAAAGTATTTAGATTTTTTAAGAAATAGTCTGTTCGAAATTATTGAAGATAATATTCCACTATTAGCAAGAAATAATGATTATTTCATGCATGATGGCGCTCCACCACATTTTACTCGGGTATGCAGAAAATGGCTTCATGAAAATTTTCCTGAGCGATGGATCGGTCGAGGTGCAGATGCTCCAATTCACTGGCCTCCAAGGTCACCAGACCTTAATGCCGTTGATTATGTAGTTTGGAGCTATGCCAAACAAGAAGTATATGAAACAGAAATAAATTCAGCAGAACATCGGACACAAAAGCTTGTTGATGTTTTCAACCATCTAAAAGACAATTCAGAACTTTTAAAAAATACATTGTTTTCATTACAAAAAAGAATTCGTTTTTGTATTAGTGAAAATGGAGAACATTTCGAACACTTATTCTGATTTTATTTTCCTTGAATTTTAATTTTCTGTTAGTAATAATTAGTTATTCTTGTTTTTTTTTTCAATTGTATTCAGTATGTGTTAAACTTTTCAAGAAATAAACTAACTATTACTTCTAAGAATAACTTTGATTTCGAGTTTTATTAATAAAACTAATAATAATAGCAACTAGGTGCTAAAGCCTACTTGAAATAAAAAACAACAATTTAGGATACTAGCTGCTTGACTTCGGCGCACTATGCCTTGTTTTTCTCGAAAACGGGCTTTTTTTTAGCATTTATTACAAGAGCACCTATTTTGTTTAGAATAAAATTTGTCATAACAGCAAGTGACAAAAAGGGCAAAAAAAAAATTAACCTCGAAAAAGTTAGGATTTAAAACGTTCCCGCGGAGTACTGCACTGAACGCCCTGTATGATATAGCCAAAAATTAATAACTCCAGAGCATTTAGCATCCCCAGAAACCCCACATAACAAAATTTCAGTTCATTCGGTCCAATTTTGTGGAAGATAGGACCGAAACTAGATTCTAAAAAATTATTTTCAACGCCCTATATCTTTAAAACGGAAAAAGATACGCCCATGGTTCATAGGAACAAATTGTCATATTTTTTGAAATTCTATCAAGTCCTGAAATTATGCTAGTGTTTTCAGAACACCCTGTATATATTTTTTAATATAGATCCGTCACTGTATACAGGGTATCACCTAACGAATGTTACTATACCATAACCATAACCCAAATGGTGTCGATTTAACCAAACTTGCTTAAACGAAAAATGTCGCAAAAAAAGTTACAGGGTGTTAAAGTTTCTTTTTTATTTCTTGTTTTCTCCTTAACTCAAAACCCAGTTAACCGATTTGAGCAAAATTTGCTGTTACTTAGTTTCTCTTCATAAAGTATACAGTGATTATGTTCCTATTAGGTTAAATCATACAGGGCGTTCATTTTACTACAACCCTTTGTGAATATCTTTCTGTATGTTTGAATTTTTACACGCAACTCTCAAAAGTCGAAATTGTGTCTGATTATGAAGATATTACATAAAATATTTATTAACACATATCTCATAGTTTTTGGAAATAACTACTTACGTATCCATAATAAACATAATAAATAACATAATCAACTGAAAGGTTGCAAAGTTCCTCTCCTATATTAGGTGTTAAGAGTTGTAAACAACTCCTTTGAAATAACCCCAAAAGTTAAAGTTGGTCATGGAAAATTTCGACAATAGAGTGTGTATGTGCCAGCAAATCTACGGAGTTCATTTACCAGGCATTTACAATTTTTAATTAAAAACATGTGTTCTCTATCAAAGTTACTTCTTGCGTAAATTTTATACATATTTATAGAATAATAAAGAGATTTTCTTACAATTAGTATGTACCCACCTGGTGGAAGATCGGGTCTAGCCATGTATACGTCGTTCCAGACATGATAGTTCCAAATAGAATCTTCCCCCATTGCATTATTAGGATCATAAGTTAATTCTTCATTGTTTTCGTTAAAATATTTGTCAACGGTCAAAGTCGCGTTAGCGTCATGGGCAGAAACAAGGTTGGACACCACTCTTGAGGCAATTCCAAGCGCGCGGCAAACTGAAATTTTTATTTACAAATGACAACAAACAAATAAATAAATACATTGAATGCGAACATTGGTTATTTAAGAAGTTATTAGATACTTAAGTTTAATAATATATTTATTAAATTTATGGCCACTGATGTTTGGAATAAAAAACAATCATAATAACTAACAGCAAATCAAAAACCATCATGTTCTTATAATTTATGCCAGACTAACTCATCTGTTGTGATAGATACTTATATGTCTCATTGATTATTCTAAAATTGGCCAAAAAATTAGAACCAGTTCTATTGTCTCCAATTTCTTGGTCACTATTGAAACTAGAAAATTTTACGACAATTATTGTATTACATGTACCATATACAGGGTGAGTCGGAAGAATCGCACCAAACCCTGGATTCTACAAGTCAAAATAATAGGAAAAAACTCAAATGTTGTTATGCGATTTTCAATTGTTTTCAAGCCATTAACTACATTTCAATAAAAAAATAATTTATTGATATTCTATTAATCATAGTGTTCCTAGATTGTATGTTCTAAACCACCACTATTGACTTCTAAACACTTTCTGCTTCATCTATGAAGGGCGTTTGTAGCTCTCCTGATTGCTGCATGCGTCTTTCTTTAATAAGTGTTGCAGTATTGATGATAATTGGTGCCCCCCGAGTGTTGGCTCTAAATTTGTACATTTCATTTTTGGATCAGCCCCATGAACATAAATCTAGTGATATGAGGTCTGGAGATCTTGGAGGCCAACTAATAGGACTACCGCGGCCAATCCAACGCCATGAAAACCTCGCTTAACTGGACGAGCGTAATGTGCAGGAGCTCCATCGTGCTGGTAATACATTCGCATTCTCATGTTTATAGGAACATCCTCTGGTAGAACTTGTAATTCATTTTATAAAAAAAATAAATATTAGTGGTCTCCTGTGAGTCGATTGTCCAAAATGAAAGGGCCAATTAAGTAACCATCGATCACACGTTTACCGAAAACCTATGCTGAAAATTACTTTCGAGTGTTGCGTGAGAATTTTAGGCTCACGATATATGAGAGTTCCGTGTATTAGATATACTGTTACTGATGAATGTTGCTTCATCCTTAAAAAGTATGAGGGATACAACAAGATGATTATTATTGATCTATCGACAAAACTCGATACGCTTCCGATTGTAGGTATTGTACCTGGTACGGATATAAGCTTGCTCGTCTTCACGAGCACGATTTGTATGCCTCTTTATTTGTGGAATGCCCAATTGAGTAGCAATTTTTCGTCAGCTGGTAGTTGCATCTTCTTCTACTAGACTCAGCATATTTTCTACTTTTTCATATGTTACATTAGCACTGGGAAGCTTTCCGGTTTCGCACAATTTGTTAAAAACTCTGATAAATATGTTTTTATCAAGACATCTGTCATATGGAAACCGTTGACGATATTTTTCAGGAGCACCATTACAAAAATCATAAACAAACACCATATTTGCATACTCCAAATTTTAATATGTTCTTGGCATTTTGTAACACTTTCATCGTACAAACGTATAATCAAATGTTAAACATAAAATTACACTAACAAATATCCTACTATTGAACTTGGAACATGACATAGGTACTCTGATTCAAATTTTTTAAATTTGTAATTACTTATAGTCTTTCCGAAGTTGGTTGAAGATGTATAAAAACGCCTAGCAATAAAATTTAATGACTTTCATAGGCGTTCCTAAAAAAGTTTTCTGCTAAATATAAAAAAATTATAATAATTTGTATATAATGTATAGAAAATTTCTAATATACGTTCATTTGGCCAACAATATACATATTTTAATTATTTATGTCCTCAATTTTCTTTATATAAATTATAAATGGTCCGAATTACGACTTTCGTCATGTCATCGATATTTTTAAATTTTTGTTTTCGCTTCCTCTTTACGCAATGATCTATAACACCTTGTTTAATAACACGAAAAATTGTGAACACTGAAACTTTAGTTAATATGTGAATTATATTTATAATCTCATTATCTGATTTGTCATTTTCTTCCTTTTTTAGACAATTGAGAGGCTGACATTGAACATTTAAATCTTTATTCTTAAATTCTAAATCTGTTTCATCAACAACCGGTTCTATTAATTCACTATTGTCTGGCGGTATTTCGTTTTGTTCCGTTTCAAAAGGTCTGCAAAATGCCATGTTGTAAACAAAATGTCCGTCTTATTTCTCGCTTTCGCAGTTGTAATCTGAATGGTTAATAGAGGTGCCTATAAGAAATTAAAATTACCTGAATCACACCAAATACCACATTGCTTCACTGCACTGCTAGGCAATTTGTCAACAACTGAAATTTATGGCCGGTCGCCCAGTACGGCTGTGTGTATGCGGCGTTTGCCCGCGCTTGCATTCTTCAACTTGACGACCAGACCTGTATATGGGTATGGCTAAATAAATATGGAAACAAGTTTTTCAAATATTTCAGTGCCGAGTTGTTGCGTAGCGACCGAATTTGGTACATACTCGCTAGCTCTTTGGTCTTCAATTGAGATCGGAAAGACTATACCCTATAACTTGAAAACAAATGAAAATCGCATAATATTTGAGTTTTTTGTTATTATTTTGACGTGTAAAATTCATTCCTTTGGCCAATTTCTTGAACAACTTATGGATACAAAAATTGATAAATGTAAATCAGGTTTCAGAGAGTAATGAGAAACGAAACGTATTTCGAATAACAATAATATTTCCAAGAAAATCATGCTTCCAATTATAATAGACTTCTCGGAAATTTCATGCCACAACGTAATTCCTCTTATTTCGAGAAGCAACTACCGCAGCATTCTGTAGATAACCCCCAGTACTGTTTTATAAAATTTGTGGTAGTTGCTAAATATTCCTTTTATCATGACTGACATATAGAGACAGGGGAAAAACTTCTTTAGAAATGTGAGTTATAAATTTACTGTAATACTGTTTTAATTTTCAATAGTTTCTAGTGTTTAATTCTAAAATTGAAGTATTATTGACTCAATCAACAAAAACACCTTAGAAAAATCTAAGTGGAACACTTCAAATCAGTACCTACAGTGTATAAGATGAACTAACTGCAAAAAAATGTTGCTTGATTTCTAGTAATTATTAAAAATAATAATTTATTTATACGACACTTAGTTCAGCAGGGGTACAACTAAGCTTTATTATTTCATCAATTACATTATTTTTGAAATTACATTGTTTTCCAAGAAAAAGAAGTATTTGTATTCACTTTGCAGGAAGCTTTTCCACTACTTAAAATTACAAAAATGAAATGAAAACTCATAACAAAGACTTTTCTGTAAGAAAATAATTTTCAACAAAGAAACTGTTAGAGACAATTTAGGACCACTTCATTTATTTTGACTAGTTTTAAGTACACTACAAAGAATGTGAAAGAACATTTTTGTTAGTTTTATTCAAAAGCAATAATTTCGACTGAAAAAAAGTATCTTACTTGCTGTCACAACGCCAGAAAATACCCAACATTGCCCATAATTAACTGCTGTTTCCGTGTCTAAATATTCTTGTAAAATAGGAACTGATCCTGTCCAAGCTGATGGAGCGGTACCATCCTCATAGTTACCATCCCATCTTCCAGTTAATATGCCATCATCGTCGTTGCTGTTGACCATTTTGGAAATCATTCTGGTTACTTTGATTGGATCACCACGGCTATAACACATCATTTTCATGTTGATATTTTATAATAAGTTCCAGATAATAGGTAGATCGCATTTATGGAATGTGTTACTAACGATACATCAACTAAAAACGTTTAAATAGATACTAAATATTACAATTTCAATTAAAACGGTTTAAGTGCTGATATATGATCCATCTTTCTAAGGGCCAATTTCATAATGGAATTCAAAAATGCTTTTTGTAGATTTTAGCACTACTTATTTAAATTTATTATAATATTGACTCCGAATTTGATAATTTCAGAAAAGCTTGTTCATTCGAGATTGAATCGATGGGTTGAACCCAAAGATTTTTCTGTATATTAGGTATATACAAACTTTAGTATCAAATCCGGCAAAATCCAACTGTCAGTATCAAATACGGCATTCTCCATTTATTTTCCTTCCTTAATTTTTCCAAAAATGCTAAAAATTAAAGTATATTGACTTTAAAATATGATATAGTTCACCATTTTATTTTATTGGAAACTATGCTGCGCTTTACCAAAAAGTGAAAATGGTGGAGATAGCCACGTTTGATACTAGGGCTCTCAATATTCAAAGAGTAGATGTTAAATATTGCACTTGAAAGAGCATTATTATAATGTTAGACATTCTAATATGAATTTTACCAGCAACGAATTTGTAATGCTATGACTCTCAAAACCGGCTTAAAACAATTAATATTAGTTACCTGGCGTGGGATAATCCAGATTTTTCAAACATTAACATGGTGGCCTGCAAAACACACGCGTCGAATTGGCCAAAAACCCATTCGCGACCTTTGGTGGTACCATACGGGCCTACCCAAACCTTTCCAACGTCAGTCAGAATATATTCATCCAGCATCCTCTCATCTGGCATGTAAACCAGATCATCTAACAACAACAGATTTTAAACTTTTCACATTATGCAGAGTGAGAGTCCTAATTAATATGTATAAGATTTCACTGTGTTGTGTTCAATAAAAATCGTTTTTTCTTAATTTGAATATTTAATTAAATGAACTAATGCAAACAATTAAAGGGTCAAAAGAATTTCCGAAATTTTTCCGTGATTTTTGACGCACTGAATTTAGGTGAAAAATGGTCGTATCGGGAATTAAAAAAAGTATTTTGAAGCTCTAAGACTCTAGTTTTTAGATCTTTCTGTCGACATTTTTTAGGAGCTACGGTTATCATGCAATTCTAAGAAATTGCGCGACAAAAAAATTTTGCAAATTTTCTTTTTTTTCCGAGTCCACCGACTTGAAAAATTTGTTTTTTGAGCCAAGCCAGATGGACCAGATAGTTTGTTTATTCAGCTTCAATTTCCTTTTTTTTTTAAATTTCGATACGACCATTTTTCATCGAAATATCGGACTTTTAATGGAAAAGGATCCTTTTGTCTTCAATCATCGATATCTCGGCGACAAATGGTCGTACAGCGAATTGAGGGGTGTATAAATTTCCTATAACACGCAACTATTCGGATTTTTTTTTCATTTTTTACACGAATTTAAAAAAAAAGGAAAAGAAGGGTAATTTTTAGAAAATTGACGGCTGAATTAGAGATATTCACGAAATGACTAATGTTAAGCATGACTTTTACAGTTCGATATACCCAGTAGAACTCAGTGAAGTTTCATTTCGATCTAACGAACTGTTTCTTTGTTTCAAACAAACTTTTGAAAAAAATTAAAGGTTCACGTTTTTGAGCTTAAACACTTCATAATCATGATTAAAATGGAAAAAAAATTTTTTTTGAGATTTTCTCACATTTTTACCGCAAATAACGTTTAAATTGACGAAATTTATTTCCAGAGAAGAAAAGGGGTTTTGAAAAAAACTGTTTTTTAAGTGATTACAGAGTGCACAAGAATTAATTAGAAATTTGTCTCAAAAAACGGTATAAATCGGGATCGAAATCTGGATTGGGTCATCAACTTTAATTTTAATTTAATTAAAATGACGAACAGAAGCATATGACGAAAAAGCCGATTCGTGCTGGAAACAATTGGATTGTGTTTTCTTTAACGTCTGGAAGGTTTTTCAAAAAAACAAAAAAAACTTCAAAATGCTTTTTTTTTTTCATTCCCGACACGACCATTTTTCATTTAAATACAGTCTGTCAAAAATCACGGAAAAATTTCGGAAATTCTTTTCCCTTTAATTTGATGCATTAGTGTATATAAAATTTAAAAATTTCAAGATTATCGTCCTATAGCCTACTGAATTATATTTTATCTTGCCCCGTGAATGATTTTAATATCAAATAAAAAAATTCAAACAAAGATAAACGTGCTGTAGTAGTTTGGTTATAACTACAGTAAATATTATTTCATTAAAATTGTATAAGTTGTTCTATTGAATAAACTTACGGCAATTCCAGGGGTTAAACAAAAAGTACAAGCTGTTTTCATTATTGTAAATTTTTGGTTCTTCAGTGGAATTGAGAATGCTCGTCTCGATTTGAAGATTCCATAGACCAACGGGTATGGTAGGAGGAGCAAACACCTAAAATCCAAGACAATTTTATTACAGGTTTGAAGAGATGCAAGGTTAAGCGATGTATTACCTGATGCATCAATTTAAGTCATATGTTTTACAAAATCTGTGTCAATAAAATTCTCCAAGAGAGGAAAAGGCAAATATGTATTGGTGGATAAGAGACAACTTAAATTGTTTTATATAAATAACTTTCAAAATAAACGAGGGTCAAACAATGAAAAATGACTGGCTGTGTGTTTGATAAAGACAGTGTGTTAACATTATTTTTTCGACTACTATTTGCAAAAGAATGATCTATAAAGTTCTACACTGTCTTCAATTATAGTGACAAATTTGAATAATAAAAACTGAATTATTCCCAGATTACCTGTAATGAAATAGTTTCCGAATCCGAATTGACAACATTCGCAAACCATAACTTCTGCTCATCATCAATACGCCTCTTTTTGGTGGCGTCAATAACTACCACCCCTCTAGTACCTTTAATGGGATTTGGATATGGACCTAAAAATAAATAGTAAAATTATCAAGTGTATTAACATTTTCAATTGTAATACCATAATCGAAGAGTAATCTAACTAGGTCCTTATTTTTGTCGAATCCGCGGTTTGCGAATCTTACAGCTATAGTGAATTGCAATCCACGTCGGAAAATGGCAACCGGATTTTCTTCATCGTGAACCAGCTCGTATTTATCCGTTTTATGTATTGTCGAATTTTCTTTGGGATAAAGGTAAACGGACTCTATATCCAGGGCCATTCTGAAAAGTATAATATTTTATACAGGGTGTCCCGTGACTCGATGGCCATAGCTTAAGATCGTATTCCTAGAACAATTTTAAGTCGAATGTGCATTATACGCTTTGTCCAAAAGGAATTACGGGCAATATTAAAATTAACAGTAAATAAATCTGGTAGGCCATGTAATTGTTTTGTCATATTGTATGGTTTCTGCATGTACGGTGACATTGTTTATTCTTTGACGTTGTAATTTTAAGATTAATTTGACATGGCTACGTTTTCAAATCAAGAATATGCCGATATTCTCTTTAGTTATGGATACTGCGACGGAAATGCAAGAGCGTCAGTGACGGAATATCATCGCAGGTTTCCTGATCGAAGAATACCTAATAAGCAGTGTCCATAAATGTGCAATGTCAGTTGACAGAAACAGAGGTATGTTTCCTAAAGCTACTGCAAAACGTCCCGTGCAGTAAGAACTTGCCGAAGAAGAAGCTATTCTTAACATGATGAAAATAGTACCTACCTCTACTAGTATACGAAGAATATCTAATCGTGTTCATGTTAATCGAATGAAAGTGTGGAGAACATTACACAATTTTGGTTTGTACCCATATCACATACAATCTGTTCAACATTTACAACCAGTAGACTATGCAGCACGTGTTGTCTTTTGTCGTTGGTTGATTGCACACCCACAGCTTTGTTGACAAATTATGTTTATGGATGAAACCACGTTTAATAAAGATGGAATTAGGAATACCAGAAATTCACATTCGACACTTGAGAACCCTTTGGAAATCATAATAATATTTGGTACGGTGTTCTTAATAACCTTCTTATTGGGCCATTCGTGTTTCAAGAACGTTTAACATCCGAGCATTATCTAAATTTTTTACAAAATGCGTTGCCAGGATTAATGGAGGATGTTCCACTTCAGAATAGAGTTAACATGTGGGTTAACATCGCATTTTAGTGTAAATGTGAGAGAATATCTAAATAACAACTTTGCTAACTGGTGTATTGGAAGAGGAGGTCCAGTTGTCTGGCCTCCGAGGTCGCCAGATCTAACGCCTCTTGACTATTATCTTTAGTGACAAATGAAAAGTCTAGTGACTCTATTGTATTCAAATAAACCACAAACCAGAGATGAGCTAATTCAAAATATTATGATTGCAGCTGCCGTCATACGAGATGACCCAGATGCTCTTCAAAGAGCTACGTCTTCAATTATTAGAAGAACAAGAATGTGTTGTGAGGCAGCGGGGGAACATTTTCAAACAAACCTTTAATTAAATTTCTGCTAGCAATAAAAAAATTCGTAATTAATAAAACATTACATTACTTTATTCAACATACTCTTTGCTTTACCAGATTTATTTACTGTTAAATTTAATATTGCCCATAACTCCTTAACTATTGAGTTTTGGACAAAGTGTATAAGGCACTTTCGGCTTAAAATTGTCCAAGGAATACGACTTTAAGCTATGGCCATCGAGTCACGGGACACCCTATGCAATATGGGTCAAGAAAACTTTATACACACAACTTCATTTTATTAGGATTCTGCATGCAATGGATTCTAGATAAGTAAATATAGGCGGTGTCCAAAAATTGCTAAACTTTCTCACTCGGATTCAAACATCTTCAAAAAAAAAATGGAGTTGTTCACTAATCCAAGTATAAAAGGTAATATTTTTTTAAGATCGAATGTTTAAATTAAAATTGTTCTAAATGGCGTCCTTATAACTCAATATACTTTTCAATAAGTATTCTCTCTGAGTTTCAAGGAAAAATGTTTATACAGGAATTTGGAGGTAGACATAGCATCAAAGGTGTCGCAAGGGTATCTACCTTATAAGCCCTTACAGACAAGTACATGTATTTTAATTTTTTTGCTTACGTGTTGGAATATACTTTTTGGTAAAATATGGGTGCTTTATAACATATTTCGCCTTGTAACTTTTGTAACAATCAAGTTAACTTGGATCGAATCGTACTATAAGTATAAAATAATAAATGTCAATAAAATTATTATTATTATTATAACTTAGTCTTTCAGATGTCGGATAAAAACAATTATGATAAGTATTCAATTTCAATTACTTAATGGAGGATATCCAAAAGGTAGGCGTGATGTAAGCGTTCTACAGTGCGGGCTCCATGTTTTCCCGATTTGAACCCAAAGGTTAAAAATTATAAATCTCCCATATCTATGCCACTGAATTAGTTTTTAATTGTAAACTTTTATCAAAGAGTATAGTTTAATGACCTTATTAAATATCTAAAGAATTATTTTTTTCTGAGCCAAGTATATCCAAAATTAATTTTTGTCCTTGTTTTTAACTTCATTACCTTATAACTTCTAAACTCTTAATAATTAGACACAGGTTTACATATTTTTTAATTACACTATAAAATAAAACTTTCTTAAATTTGAACGAAGAAGACTCTTCTGCATTTTTGATAGTTTTAATGTTTATTCTATGTTTAAACCACTACCAAACTTATATAACCATACGGAAACGAAAGATACCTCGGTAAAATTATGCTTCCTTCCGGTGTTTATACGTAATTTTCGGTGAATTTATTTGTCGAGGGTTTTAGAAAATCTAAACCAGTTAGAAACAATATCACTGTACCAGTTATACAAGTTTTCTCCAGAGTATAAGACAGCTTACAAGTTGACAATGCATTCAGCATAAGGAAAAAAGCACATATTTTCCTGCTGTGTTTATCATTATGTTTCCTGAACTTTTATACGCCTATTGAAAAAAAAACGCGTAGGTGACTATAAACATAATCACACCCCACAGAATGCTTTTATGAAACTATTAACACATGAATTAATCATAATTATTGAGTATTTTTTACAAAATCCTCGACAAAACAGGAAAAGTACATTCCGATGTTCACATGGGCGCCTATGTTTTCCGTTTTCACTGCGAAAAAGTAAAGGAAGGTTCTGTCATTGTCTTAATAAATGTGCATTTTAATATAACTCCGCCATTTTTTAAAATATTTCAAGGAAACTTGGTATTGGGTTTTTTGGATAGCCGAAGCTCATTTTTTTCCTAAAATATTAAGGTTGTTAGGAGTATATACCAGAAAAATTAATCTGGTTCTTTTTTTATTTACTGTAAAAAAGATATACCTGTTGCGTGTCACTAAAATGCAAGTTTTTTGGCCTAATTAATATTCCCTCTTTTCTAAATTTCCAACTTTGTCAAACTGTTTCACAATTTCGATAAACTTTTTTCTAATAATAATTCAACATCTCTAATTCTTATTTCACATAACTATATTCGAAGGTCTTTAGCTGCCGACATTAGTTTAAATTGTAAAAAAAAATAAGTACAGCTTAACTTTTTAAAAAATAAAGTTTAATTAGGTTAGAATGACCTCAAATAAACTGCTGTCCGTAAGTAACCTTTTTGGTAAAAAAATGATGTTTCATAAAATACCTACGTTTTCCCAAAATCTCAGGCATTGTTACTATTTTTAACTTAATAAGGCTAAAGTTTATTGAAATATATTAAAGTAACATTTGTATCCAAAGAAATGTTTCTTGAAGCATGGCTCATTGTTTTCGGACACCTTGTAATTTGAAATACTTCAAATATAAAAGTAAGATAAGTAACATAATGCTATTTTCCTATTGTCATAAATAGGTAATTTAAACAGAGGCAAATTTTTTTTATTTTTCATTTTATGATTAAAAAAATAGGTCCTAATTCTTGTTTTTGGTTCTGTTCAGAGGTAGACAAATGTAGTTTTAATAAAAATAGTATCTGTTTTTAACCTTAGAACTTAATAATGCCAGTTAAGGAACGTATAAATAGCCAATTGCTTTCCAACATTTGGTTTATACTGAGTGTCTACATATCCCCTTAACAGATGTTGGTAATAATGGCATTAAAATTTTGCGCGCTATGAAATTCTGCTTCGTTAAAAAGATAATCTGTAACATATTTATATTTCTGAAAAATCGGGTGGGCCTTGTCAGGAACAAAAAAATATTTTCTTTGTAGGAAAATTTATTTGAGAATTAAAATGTATTTCCGTATTCTAAATTTGGAAAAAAATTATTTACTTTATTTTTTCAATTTCTCCATACCAATACCTCATACCCCTTTTTTTGTAAAAAATCGGGAAAAATTCTATAAAAGGTTCTTTAGAATTAAAAGTGATATTAATTACTAATTTTGGTTCAATTCATTTCTTTTTTCATTTCTCTACTGAATAGCGAATTATTGAGTTTTAAGGATAAAATAAATCCTGTATATGTAGGTCAATCTAAAATAGCAATTTTTTTATATTTGAACAAAAGCAGAGTTTTTTACAAAATAACTTTTTTTTCATTATATGAAGAATAAAAAAGTTTTCCTCCCTTTTAACTACATCCGTAAATACACTGTATATTGTGATTCAAAATGATTATATGAGAGTGTGATACAAATAATGTGTAAGTTATAAGCAAACTTATGAAAATAAAAATTAGAGGATAGTACAATTTTACTACAAAATAAAAGGAAAATAAATTCAGAACTTAACACTGAGAAAAATAATTGCATTCGAGATAATTATTCAGAATCTACAAAAACAATAATAAAAATATTTACTTTATCATTTAACTTTTAAAAAATGTTTGCATTAACTATTGGTACAAAACAAATGCATAGTAAAGTCGTTACCTTTTTTGTCATGCACGTCTAATCACTCACTATGTCTGAAGTATACTAACAGCTTTCAATAACGTTTCATTCAGAAATCGGAAAATGTTTTGAACTGCTTCCTGTGTTTATATTTCCGTCACCACAAATTCCGGTAATTGTAAGTGGGAGTATATATGAAATAAAATATCTTGATCTTGATAGTAACTTCTCCAAAAATAAAAATATAAAAGTTGTGCTTTTACGTTTGAATAATTTTAAAAAGTGAAAGTGTATAGGTATGTATAATAGGTTGAACAATTTCCAGGTTGATTTTCCCGTCATCAGCTTAGACTCTTGGCGTTTCGAGAAACATTCACTTTTTTAAGAAGAAATTCTGGAACTGAAAATTAAATCTTCTCGTGCTTAGTTTGACGTCAAAGCTGTGACCGGTCTTTGATTTTTAAGCATGAGTTGTCCAAATTCAAATCAATCAGTTCAAATTCCAGGTAGTTCTGGGGTCTTGTATCGGTTGAAATGATTTTGGTTCTTCTGAATTTATATTGCTTCTCTGTTGAGCCTGACCAAAATCACATCTCTCTTTCGCTAGAATTTTTCATTACTTATGTCTATTACATGTGCTGTGCCTATCTGCTCCGTGTTCCGAATTCTCTCCATTGTAATCCTTTGCAGCATACGTGTATTTGCTTAACTTCATGCTAACATGCCTTTCTCTTTATCCAATCATACTTTGCTTTAATTTCTTCTGAAAGCACATCTTAGATAAAATAGTTCAAGTGCTTTTACTGGCAAGTGGTACTAAGATGACGATAATCTCTTTTTTCTGGTCTGAATGATGGTGAGGGTTCAGATACTATCCGGGCTTTCTATAAATGTCGTCCATATCCCATTTTCTCTTGACAAAAACGTCTATGAACGAATCCATTTTCTTCCGATTATTTTCCAAGGTATCATCAATATACAGTGAGTCCCAGAAGTAACGCAAAAAATTCGTATTTTATTTTGTGTTGCGTTTTCACAAAACGCTAAAACATGTCAATTAGTAAATAGGAATTGTCGTTTTTTTTGCGTTGTTTCATAAACCTATGACGTCATCGACATTTTTATTAAATAGCACTTCTTAATTTTTTAAGCATAAATGGATAATCCTTTTGAAGGGAAATGCGTCGATATAGGGTTTGGCCTACTTTACTTTGATAGGTGCGAAAAAACCAACGAATGGAATGGACATGGTTTAAAATAACAACAAAAGTAGGTATCACAAACTGATGCGAGAACAGTGCCACAGCAAAAATGGGAATTTATAGATGTTTTTTGTTTTGTGTGACTGTATGTTTTTATATAATGATATGTTGGCGTTTTCGGCGATAGGACAAAGTGTGTGAATTTTCAGTGACAGCTAACATAACAAATTAAAATATTTAATACTAGGTGTTTCGTTTTTGCTGTTACATTTTGATTACCTCAAACAGCTATAACTTTGTACGCGAAGCACAAAGGCTCCATCTATCGCGCTGACTTCCACTATGCCATTCAAATGGCTACTACGGTGGAAGCGACCTGCTAAAATTTGCCAGGTACTTTATTGCACGTATGTCGCCTATAGAGGGCGAAACACAATGTAAGTCGTCAGTGCCGCGAAAAACAACTACTCCGAGGGCTATTTGCCCCTACCGGCATTGAATTACATTCGCGACACCCAGTACAACAGCTAGGATCGCTCATCAGCTGGTCCCACCAGGCACAGATCGGTTTCGGACTTATTAGTCCTCATCAGTGTGTCATAGGTAGGACAACCGATGAACGATCCAGCTGTTAAAAGTCGTAAACTCCTGACAAGAGGTACATAGTACGCGAAGCACAAAGGCTCCATCTATCGCGCTGACTTCCACTATGCCAGTAGTTGGTTGAGTAGTTGTTTTTCGCGGCACTGACGACTTACATTGTGTTTCGTCCTCTATAGGCGACATTCGTGCAATAAAGTCCCTGGCAAATTTTAGCAGGTCACTTCCATCGTAGTAGCCATTTGAATGGCATAGTGGATAATAAGTCCGAAACCGGTCTGTGCCTGGTGGGACCAGCTGATGAGCGATCCTAGCTGTTGTACTGGGTGTCGCGAATGTAATTCAATGCCGGTAGGGGCAAATAGCCCTCGGAGTAGTTGTTTTTCGCGGCACTGACGACTTAGCTATAACTTTGTTAACTTAAACGGAACACCCTGTATTTTTTTACTCTGCCGTATGCAGATTAAAATTTTCTTTCGAGCCATATAAGCATTGTTAGGGTTGCCGTTATTACTTTTGTGCATTGTCGGCTGAATTCAATGGTTGTCGAGGGATTTTTTGGTTGCTTTGGCAACTTTGGCGTTATATTTCGAAACTGAGGTGATTTTTCGAAAATCGACCCGCATTGCTCATCAGCTGTGCACCGGTTTGAATTTAGAAAGTACGATTTTTCAAAATTCTCTCTCGTCTTTTTCTACAGCAAATTTAAGAAAGACTAACGTGGTTCTTTTGTACAAGTTATTTAAGTAGAGTGGATAAAAATACCTAAACCTGGTTGTTGAGGTTTCCGAAATTTTGTCGAACTTTTTTCAATTCTAAATTCTAACATTTATTTTATTCCATTTGCCATATTGAATCCGACCTCATATTTGTAATCAGCGACCTCGAAAACTTGAAAAATCAGTGGTAATTTCAGTGTTTGTAATTGATTCTTTTTTCTTCTATAACGAGTTTTGTGGAGAAAAGTTATCTCTTGGAAATATGGATATTTTGCAAACCTGACGTGGTGGAGCTTTATTGGAAGCTCTAATTTGTTATCCTTTTGATGTTTTCGAATTCTCAACAATCAATGGTTAAAGGAGCAAATATTTAAAATAAAACGAACATACTGGTTTTTAACATTTTAATACAAACAAATTATTTTTGGCAGTACACATGTGTTTTTATGTATACATGTCATTTTATGACCTTTTATTAAAAATCTTGCATTATTTACATTTTATCTAGTTACTTATCGGTATGATTTAGGGTAAATGTCGTAACCTTCTTATAAAAAACACAGTAACAAATAAATAACAAGCAACAAGTCTGATAAATTGAATCTTAAGAATAAAACTAGAATATTATGATTACATCATTTATAAAAAGTTTTTATTTGTTATTCTTTTGTAAGTATATAACAATTTATTTTGGCCAATACCTGGTTCTCTTCTGAAGGGTAGACAAAACTTTACAAGCAGCTTCCCTCTAGAAGAAAATCTACTTTCTCGAATTTATTTTGGCATTTTATATAAGTTACTTATTCGCCCGTTTTATATTTTTTACGTTATTTATTACACTTCTTTACAAACATCTTATTTATAACCACATAACAGTTTGTTTAATATACAAGTTAATTTTAGACACTGAAGAATCAATGTAACATATTAAATGAAATCGGTATTAAAATGTAAAATATTTAACACACAACAAAATAAGTTACCTTATTTTTTATGATTAAAATAAATAAATTACAATTGATTATTGGATTGTGATACCAGCATGATAACTTACGTTAATCTGTAAACTTTTCGTTCTGAATACTTCAAAAAGAGACACAAAATACACACAGGGAATGTCATAAGTACAAATAATTATTTCTGTAAGAAAATATTGTGGCGGCTACAATTTTTAATTGTGACACAAGCATGATTATTAATAATTTTTATAAAATTCAAAATGATGCTTGTAAGTGCATCAATGAAATTTAAAACTTTCAGATTATATTTTTGAAATATTGAAAATAGAAAAGTTTTCTAGTTTACACACTGTTTTCACGCAGTATAAATGTACACATGAAGTTAATAGTACGATTTAAAACCAATATACATAAAAAATAAAGAAACTACTTGTTTATTTCAATCAGTGACACTGTCCAGCAAAGTGAAAATTAAATTTACAAACAGCTATGTACCATGTACTTCTTACTGTCATATTTGCAATTCTCCATACTCGGTAGAATGGAAACATATTTACATTGTTTTTCAGCACATAATTTTCAATAAAAACAAGCCTATCTATGTAACACTTTAGGAGTCTCACTTAAATTTTTATTTTGAATTACTGACTACAAGAGATTTATTTACAAGAAGACATGAAGTTTTAATAGACAAAACAGAAGTGAACACATTATTACTTGAAAACACGTAAAATGAGAATAATGTGGGTATATGATTCGAGCAAAAATAACGTGGACAAAATAAAGGCAAAATAAGTAAGTGTATAATAAAATTTTTCATTATTTAATATTTATCTAAAATAAACCCAGTTCTTTGTGGAAAATCAAAACTTAGTTTCATTTTTTCATTGGTTTAGTCTTAACGAAAGTGACATAGTTTTTGCTCTCTAGAAAGTAGACATATATTTTTGTCCCTAGAGCTGAAAATGAAAATGTCAAATTTATACATACTTTTCTTAAAATTACTAAAAATTACTTAAAAATCTTACTAAAGGACTCCGTACACACATTATGGAAATTGGTCTTTCGGTGAAATTTCCTGAAAAATGGATATGTTGCTCCTTTTTTATTACTGATCAAAAATTTCCATGGCCACGAAGCTCCAAATGACCATCTGGAAGCGTAGGCTATTGATTATAGAATTTTAAAAGGAACTATGACGTTCAAGATATTTTATTACATGAATCGTTTAAATGGTCATATTAGATGAAAAAACCGCGGAGTGCTATTAAAATAGAGCATGGAAATTGGAGAAAGGGGTGAAAATGCACCCCTTTCAGTTTTTTAATTGTAGCTCGAAAACGAAGTAATATTTTGGTATAGTTCATAGGAAAAATTAATTAGAGAATTGAATTTCCCATCGAAATGGCTTATTTAAAAAATTTAAAAGGAAAAAAATGTAATGCATAAAATCGTTAATAAACAATTTGAAAAAATTCAAAAAAATTAGATTTTTTAACTTTTTTACTCTATTTTTTTTTTGGTAGAAATAGGCAAAGAAAATTGCTGTACAAACAAACTAGATGAAATTCCCTTCAAAATGAGGCGTTTACAAAAGTTTTAGGATTAATATTAACCGGTAAAACATATATTTTTTAG